ACGTGTGTCAACAGGGTAATAAGGACTCACTTCACCTGGAAGTGTGAGGATGAGATGAGCTCACAGTGCAAAGTCATAGCACAGTGACACAGAGTACGCACCAAACTCACTAGTTGGTGTCACGATCACTGTCTCATCCCCCATACCGCCAGCCCAGGGAGATGAAGCACAGCTCATTGAGGTCACAGCTGTCTGTCTCGTGACCTGCAGGGAGCCAGGCTCAGCAAACGCCCGTCCCTCGGGGAAGCCCCGGGGCTGGTGGTCAGCTCCCGGAGGGCATGGTGCCATGCAGTGAAGACAGGCGGGTACAGAGTGACCGTGACCGTGACCGTGCCCCCCCCCCCCCCCCAACCTCGGCTCCTCACCTGGTGATGGGCAAATAGCGGCAGCACCTCCTACAGGGGTCACTGAGGGTACGGTCGAGCCAGTGAGGACAAAGTCCAGGGTCTGGAGTCGGCGTCTCGCAAACTGCACCACCTATCCCGAGGCTTTTATTTGGCAGATATTTACTGACACACAGTAGACCATGCCAGCTGGGATGCAGGGTGAATGAGACATACTTCCCCAGACCACACACACACACAGACATGCACAGAAGCACACACACACACACACAGACACATGGACATACACACACGTGTATGGAGACACACAGACATAGAGACACAAATATACACAGACATCTACACACAGATGCACACGTAAACACACACAGACCCAGATACATATACCATTCAGTTCAGTTCAGTCGCTCAGTCATGTCTGACTCTTTGCGACCCCATGGACTGCAGCACACCAGCTTTCCCTGTCCATCACCAACTCTCGGAGCTTACTCAAACTCATGCCATCCGACCATCTCATCCTCTGTCATCTCCTTCTCCTTCTGCCTTCAATCTTTCCCAGCATCAGGGTCTTTTCAAATGAGTCAGTTTTTTGCATCAGATGGCCAAAGTATTGGAGTTTCAGCTTTAGCATCAGTCCTTCCAATGAATATTCACGACTGATTTCCTTTAGGATGGACTAGTTGGATTTCCATGCAGTCCAAGGGACTCTCAAAAGTTTTCTCCAACACCACAATTCAAAAGCAGCAATTACTAACATATACCATTAGTAAGTTCTGATTGTCAAAGCATCAAATTCCAGAATGGGGGTAGTGTTTATAAAATTCCTTTTGTGGAAGTGAACACAACAGGTGACCCGTGGGGCTGACTTGGTCAAGGATAAGCTGGGTGGCTCTTCTAGTTCCTAACTAACAGGTTTCTTTGATGAAGAGGCAGGAGAACCTTCAACCCACCTGGTCCTAGCCCTGGCAAAGTAACCATCCCAAAAAGAAAGAGAGATTATGACACTGTGGATATTTCTCTGAACTTTATAAAAAAAATTTTTTTTTTCATTTTCCCAGACAGAACTCAGCACTGTCAACTTTAAAAAGCAGAGAATCGTGAAACTTCCCTGACAGTCCAGGTTAAGAATCCTCACTTCCAGTGCCGGGGGCACAAGTTCGATCCCTGTTCAAGGAACTAAGATCCCATAAACTGACTGGCTTGGCCTTAAACAAATAAATAAAATAAAATTAGAGACCTGGTCACATTAGCTCCCACCCCACATACCGTGAGGCAGGTTGGTTCCTGCTCCCGGTTGTTGGTGGGGAGCCCAGAGCAGGGTTCTCAGTCCTGGCCACACACCGGAGCCCCTGGGTTCAAAGTCCTGACACCTGGGTCCTATCCCCAGCGCTTCTAATGTAACTCTTCTAGGTGGGGCCTCAGTGCTGAGACTTTCCATATCTGCCCAAAGGCTCTAATGTCCAGCCAGAGCTGAAAACTACAGACCTAAAGGATTATCTTTAAGGTCCAGCATCTGTTGCTGAGGGAAAAAGCAGATAGTAGTTTTGTCATGCTGTATATTCATTCGATGTGATATATTCATTCAATATACTCAGTGTATATTCATTCAACGTGGAAGTGTTAGTTAGATGCTCAATCATGTCCGACTCTTTGCAATTCCATGGACTGTAGCCAGCCAGGCTCCTCTGTCCATGGGATTCTCCAGGAAAGAATACTGGAGTGAGCAGCCATTCCCTTCTGAGGGGATCTTCCCGATCCAGGGATCGAACCCAGGTCTCCAGCATTGCAGGCAGATTCTCTACATGGGAGCCACCAGGGAAGCCCCATATGTATATAGATTGTATGTAGATGTATATAGAGCTTTTGTTTTTTCAAAGATAGTGTGTATGTGTGTGGGGTGGGGAGTGGGGGCGCTACAGTCAGTCACTCAGGACAGAGCTGGTGGGGCTTCAGCCAAACCCACACAACGTCCTTCTGGATGGGGAGGTGGGGCACTTTCAATTTTCAGAGTGTGTGCCTCTCAAGCAGTGACATTTTCCACTCCAAGCACGTGTCGTTTTAAAAATTATTAATAAAGAGAAATAAAGCCGCCACGCCTTGAGCCTCTCTCACTTCCCTTTTCTTTACCTATTCAGGGGACAGGAAACACCCACAAATAGCTGGTGGGAAGGAGAACTCAAGGTGAAGGTCGAGTCAGTGAGCCGAAGCCAGCCGGGGCCGAGTTGTCTGGCTCAGCCCTCCAAAACCCCTTCCAAAGTCCCCGGGGCCGGTCCAGGCCAGCAGGTTGAGCCCTGCAAAGGGTCAGGGCATCCCAGCAGCAGGGAGTTCTTGGAGCAGACCCCGAGAGCCAGGAGGGGGCCTGGATTCCAGCTCTGGAGCCAGGCGGCCCTTGGAGACCGGCCTCGGGGCTCCACTGGGTCACGTCCTGGGGCCAATTCATCCTGGTGACCTCCCTCTGACACAGTCACCTGGCCCTGCCTCTGGGCATTTCAGAGGAAAGTCCAGACAGGGCTACAGAGAGCCCAGGAGGGCCGTGTTATCTGATGAGACCTCCACACAGCTCGGGGCCACACAGAGCTCCAAGGGCTCCAGCAGGAGCGCCCAGCTGCTGCTGAGGGCGCCCAGGCCAGGCTCAGGGTACCCGGGAACTGGTCCTAAGCCACACAGGCCCCTGGTTTCAGGACCCACAGCACCTTGCGGCCCACAAAGCCGGGCTGAGGTCCGTCCCTCACTCACACTGTTCTGGGGACTCTGCATGGTGGTCTCTCCACTGCTAGACAGAGAGCAGGGGCCCTGGCAATGGGACCCCCAGGAGACCTAAGCACTGAGAAACCCCAGGCCCAGCACCAGGAATGCCAAGGCCTCATCACCTGTTGCCCCACCTACAAGAATAGGAAATGACATCACCAAGTCACCTGCTCCAGGTCAGCTGCTTAGAGAAAGGAAAGCGTCATCTGCCTTCCGAGGGACAGTGTTATTATTTTCCCCATTTACAGCCAAGAAAACTGGAGCTGAGAGTCATTTGGGCACATGGCCTGTGTCCCCACAAACAGGGTGAAGCCAGACTGAACTCAAGACCACTATCCTGAAGGGCAGGCCCTACAGTGCTCTCAGAGTGCCTGGATGCAGCAGGGGCAGAGGGCTTCTTCCAGCCCTGGCCGCCTCCCCCCAGTCCTCAGCCTCAGGCATTCACCAGGAAGGCCAGGAGAAGGTGCTGGATGCGGCGGATCATAGCTGGCCTCAGCCTTGCAGACCGTGTGTGTGGTCTGAGCCAGAATGGACTGGACGAAGGGCCCCTGGAGAGCCAGCCTCCAGGCCAGGAGCCAGGCGGACCTCTGGCTCTCAGGCCAGGACAAGGGCGTCCCTTCCCACCTCCCTCTTTCTTAGAAGTCCTCTCAGCGCTGCACTTCCTGAAGTTTCTGCTGTGGTGCCAGCAACCTGCCTAAGCCCTCATCCCCTGGGCCTCCTTTCCAGAACTCAGAGGGGAAGGGTCACAAGAGGCTGGTGCCGTGGGTTCAGGGGAAGAGAACACGCATCCAAGGCCCTCCAGGGCTCTGTCTCCGCTTCACCCATTAGCTGGTGGCCTTACAGACGTGGCCCCTCAGTGCCTTGGGTTCTTCATCTGTCAGTGGTGTTGACGGTGACAGCGGCTCTGCGGTGCTTGCTTGCAGACTGAACGAGGACAGGCTTTGACAGGGAACCGAGCACCTTCCTTGGGCTACTTATTGTTGTAACTGCTGGGTGTGGATTTGCATTTCCTAATGAATTCTTCCTAAGAGCCAGATGAAGTAGAAATTAATATTTTCCCCATTTTATAGCCATGGCACAGAGACGCAGGGAGAGAAGGTAGTGGTCATGAGTAGAACAGTGCCATTGGCAGCAAAATGGAAGGACCTAGAGATTGTCATCCTAAGTGAAGTCAGACAGAGAAAGACAAATATCATGATATCACTGATATGTGGAATCTAAAAAAATGTCACAAACGAACTCACAAAATAACAAGACTCACACGCTTCACAAATAAGCTTGGGGTTGAAAGGCAAAGGTTGGCGGGGAGAGATAAATTAGGAGTTTGTGATTAACATGTATACCCTCCTGTATATAAGATAGACAGCCAACAAAGACCTCCTGTATAGCACAGGGAGCTCTCTTTGGCATTCTGTAACAACCTATGCCGGGAAGAACTTGAGAAAGAATAGATACATGTACATGCACAACTGAGTCACTGGGCTGTACCCTGAAGCTAACACAACGTTGTAAATCGACCCTACTCCAATGTAAAATAAACATTAAATTAAAAAACTTTTTTAAAAGGTTTGTGGTAGAGCTGGGAGGGGTTGAGCAGAGGGGATAGGGCTTTCACTTTGCCTCCAATGAGTAATAACACTACGTCATAGACTTCTCATGGACTGTGATCCACACAGGGACAGACCTGGTTGTATACCGGTCCCAGCACCTGGTAGGGCACCTGTCACAGAGGAGGCACTCTGGGTACAAGAAGGCTCTGGATGGACAGTGCCGATGTTTGGAGAGGAAGTAACCTGGGCTGTGGACGGAAACACCCCCCATTTGCCAGCCCTGCCACTCCCAGCTCTGTGACTTCACATACCACTTAGAACCTCAGCCTCTTCATTGCAAAAGGCAGTGACAATCACAGTAATACCGTGAAAGAGTCACCGTGAGGATCAGAGGCACACAGCATGGCCCCTTTTATGAGGCTGAAGGGCTGCACGTGAGCTGACCGTGAGAGCACAGAGGTGAAAACCATGTGAAACGGTGCAAAGGGTGACACAGGTGTGAGTCATGGCACATCTGGGCTGTGTGCAGGTCACAGGCTCTGTGCCCCAGGGCCTAGGCTTGAGTCCCCTCCACCATGGACTAGCAGGGAGCCCTTGAACCAGTTTCTTCACCTCTCTGTGCCTCAGCTTGCTGGGGTAAGATCCTTGAGATGTACACACTTGGCTCAGGGCCCAGCCGACAGTCAGCATCACCGAGTCACGGCCGTCGTTACTGTCTAGAATAGCTGTCTCTGAGCGGCACACTTGTACGCGCCCGGCTCCTGGATTGCTTCCAGAAGCAGGGCTGTCACCTTGAGTCCCTGGGACAGAACTTTCTGAAAAGACATCAGCATTTCCCTGCACTACCGTTGATGCCCTCGGTTCTTTCTGGATGACTCCAACCACCTTAAAGCCCTCCATTCCTGCCCTTGGCCATGACACAGCAAATCCTAGGGAGAGACCAAGGCCCATGAGTGTCTTCACTCCAAATGGCCCCAGCCTACGGGGAGAAGTGGGGTCTTTCAAGAGCCCTGATTGGGGAAAGTGAGCTTGCGGTAATCTCAGGCTGGGTGTTTCTCCTGCATGGGCCTCCTCATCCTCTGTGGTAAAATAAGAGATGATCTAAAATAAGATTGTAATCTCCCTCCGGTGTTGTTTTGACGGCTAATATGCTACAGCTAATACAGCTAATTTTTTGTCTTCTCTGTTAATAGCATCATCATCGCCACAATAGCTAGCACTGATTGAACACCTGGCATATGCCAGAAACTAAATGCAGTGATGGAGATAAGAGCAACTATCAGTTACTGAATGCTGACATCCGCCAGCTATGACCAGTCTACTGATTTTCTCATTTAATCCCCACAGCAACCTGACCATCCTCACCAAAAGGATGAGCAAGTAGGTTCCACGCAGTGAGATGGCCTCATTCACCTGGGATCTGAACCCAAGAGCCAGGCTCCTAATCAGTAGGTCATGCCCAAGTCCCTACAGCCCTAAGAGGTGAGAATTATTATGTTTCACTGATTTAAAAAACCAAAAACCTGTGGCCCAGAAAGGGGAAGTGAGTCAGCCCACGTCACACTGTGTGAAATGATGGCCTCTGAGGATATCCTGCTTCTATCTTCTTTTATCCTGATCGATTCAGCTGAGGCTTTAAAGAAACACACTTGGGCTTTGTGACTCTCACTCCCAACTCAGAATTCCTGTCTTGTTACTCTGGGCCTGCAGCTGAGCTTCAGATAACCGAGGGCCCAGCCTCGGGCAGGAGGTCTGACCTCCAGACAAGCAGAGCCCCAGGGTGGAATGTAGACTCAAGTCACAGGAGAAGCTCACGTCACACCCACTTCCTGGTTCCTCATTGAAACTGGGGAGGGGGCAAGGGGGGTCATTTATTCCACCAGGGCACATGCACCATGTTTCACATTCATCATCTTCTTTTTGGTCCATGACAACTTTATCAGCTCAATGTGACAATCTTCATTTCATGGGAAATGGAGATCATGTGATTTATCTAAGCAGGGAACCGGCGACCAGTGTCCTCGGCAAATTGTATCATCCAGGATACTTGAAAATTCCAGCAGACTGTAGAGGGCGGGTTGTTTTTTCACTTTGAGGGAGAGAGTCTGGAGGTGGAGGCTGCAGGCCCTGCCTCCAGCCAGGCAGAGAAAGAGGTGGTGAGGAAGGGCAAGGCTGCACCTACAGATGTAATTGCTTTCAGTGGCTGCCCTGGAACCAACGGCAGCTTAGTTCCTCTTGTCAGTACTCCCTTTGTATACTCACCTTATCCCCTCCAAAAGTCAAGAAAAGAGGCATTGGCTGTTTGATTTCTGAAGGCCCAGGCTAAGTGAAAATAGGAACAGTTCTGAAGGGTGTGTGTGTGACTTGTCCCCCAACCAAAGGACCAGGCTGACCGGGGCAGAGGGGACCTTATTAGGACCTGGGCTTTTGTTCCCTTCGGCACCAGAATGAATCACAGATCCCACCAAGCCACACTGGCCAGTTCCAAACTTTCCCGGGTAGAATCGCAAATGAGTCCCAAGCATCACAAATGAGTCAGGGGGGCCCCATCAAGCACACAAAGGCAAAGGCTGTGCTGTTCCTTACTCTTCACCGTGGCCCCAGAAAGAAGCCAGACAGGACTTGGGGCTCTTTGGGGGCAAAATGGAAACTGGAACCAGAAAAGGAAGGTTGGCCACAAGGCCTCTGTAGAGACCAGCCAGCAAGGTGGTGGCCCCCCGCTCTAAGGTTTGGACACCACGCAAGCTTGCTCACTTGTTCACTGACTCAGACGGGTCAGGAGTTTTGATGGGGTGGCCAGCAGCCTCCAGGCTTTCTGCAGACTGTTGCTCCTGCAGACCCTGCTGAACGTGACGCTCCTGTGAGGGTGCAGAAACCAAGGCACTGGCCAGGGTTGCCCAGCCAGGAATTGGTTCCAGAGCCGTTTGACTCTCATGCCTTGCTTCTTCTGATCCTGTGTCTATAGAAACCCAGTCTCCATCAGTGGGCAAAGAATGCCCACTTTATAGGTCACCAGATGAGTTGGGCCAGGAGAGTCTAGAAAGCCTGAGATTTTTCTCCACCCAGCAGCCTGAGTTATTTTGGAGGAGGAGCCCGCCCCGAGGAGCAGCAAAACCCCAGGCCTGTCCCCTGGGGCCTCAGCATTCCAGAGGCCAGATGGGCTTGACGCTATTCACCAGGTCGTAGCCCGCTCCAGGCTGCGCTCGGCTGGCTTGTGACCCACGTTCCTCCAGGCACCCCTCCTCCCTTTCCTCGGCATGAAGGAGACAGAGCTGCTGGCAGTGTATCCTCAGCATCTGGCGGAACATTCTGGCCCATTGCTGAGTGCCTCTCACTCCCCAGCCGTCCTCGGGGATGGCCGGTGACTCATGTTTCCATTTTCAACGCCGGGCCAGGGACCAGATCTTTCCATGACCACCAGGGCGGGCCATACGGCGTTGGAATCAAGGACAGGAGCTGTGACATCAGACAGGCCTGAGTTCAAATCCTCCTTCTGGTGCTGCCAACTGACTTACCAACCTTCTGAGCCTGCTTCCCTGTTCATAAACAGTGATTGCAGCAAATGACTGTAATATCTTTATTGAAAAAAATCTCTTCCCTTTTGCTTGCAATCCTAAAAAATGAACCCTTCCCTTCTATCAGTTTTCTTTTTTATATACTTGCCATTCATAAGCCAAGGAGAGGGGAAGTTGATATTTGGTTTCTTAAAATGGAACAGTAACATTTATCTACCATTTACTTGTGCAAGGGATCTATTATGAGGTGTTATCACCAACCCCATTTTATAGATGAGGAAACTAAGGCCCAGAGAGGTAAAGTAACTTGCTTAAGCTCACACAGCCAGTAAGTGGCAAAGCTGAGATTCACATCCAGGCTGTCAGGCTGCAGAGTCTTGGCTCTTTATCATTTCGCTGAGAAAAGTAAAGATGAAACACATAAAGCCAGTGGCATTGTGCTGGGCACATAGTGAATTCTGAATGTTTGCTGGCAGTATTACTACCATTATTGTTTTTGCTTTGCCATCAACATGTCTGAGTTTCATTCTTTTTTTTTTTTGGCCATTCCAGGTAGCATACGGGAACCTAGTTCCCTGACCAGGGGTGGAACCTGTGCCCGCTCTGTTGGAAGCACAGAGTTTTAACCACTGGACTTCAGGGAAGTCCCCGAGTCTCACTCTTGACCATGAAAAGAAGTGAGTGAGAGCTCCCTGTCCTTCCAGCCAAATCTAAGAGGCTCAAAGACAGTCATTGGCTCACCCAAACATGTAGGTCCCTGAGCAGGCCAGCTCAGCATCCTTGCTGGGTGGCCTTGAGCAGCTGGCTTCACGTCTCTGGGCCCCAGTTTCCTCCCCTGTCCAGTGGAGATGCTCTGTTCTCACTCACCGTTGGGCTGGGAACGGGCGAGGGAGCACCAGGTGTGCACCGCGTGCCCTGCTGAATATTGGCAGGCTGTCAGCAGACCCTCCAGCCCAGCAGCCTGTGGTAACCACTGGGCTCCGCTGCTTCCCTGGAAGAATGCTCCTGTCAAAAGACGAGGCTCACAATTTGGCCCCCAAACCTCCGAACCAAATGACCAAAGAAATGCTGGTAACAGAAGACCCACCTGGGTCCAAGTATCCCTGGGGGGTTACAGCTGAAAGACATGATAGTCAGGAAAAGATGAGCAAAAGAAAGCAGGGCTGACAATGTTGATAACAGAGCATGATTTGAAGAGAAAGCACTCAGTTGGATGGTAAAGGGAGCCTTAACTCTCTTTGCCTCCACGTGCTATCCTCAGCAGGCTTTATTTATTTATTTATTTGGTTGCACCAGGTCTTGGTGGCAGCACACGGGATCTTTGATCTTCATTGCCTCATGTGGGATCTAATTCCCTGACCAGAGATCAAGCCTGGACCCCCTGCATTGGGAATGCAGAGTCTTAGCCACGGGACCACCAGGGAAGTCCCATGGCTTCTTACTTTTAATGTCCTTCCCAGACCTTTCCCTCATCCAGATCTTCGTTATTGCTTCCTGGTCCAAAACCTGTCTTCCTACTACTTGAAGCATGGATACAGTCTTCCCCAGGTCTCCACACCACTGCTTGCATTAATTTCTTGGAGGCTATTGTCTTGTTGCGATCTTTCCTGCCTAGTTCCTCTTTGACCAGACGGAGCCACTGCCCGTCTGTCCCCCTGTTTCCAAGGCCCCACCCTTGCCTGCTCTCAAGGCAGTATGGAGTTTGCATTGCAGAGGAGTGGAGGGGGAGTGGGCATCCAGAAGACCTCCCCCTGGGGAGCTGCTCACAGAGCCAACTTCAGCACTAGTCTATGAGTGAGCACAAGTGAGAGCTCCCTGTCCTTCCAGCCAAATCTAAGAGGCTCAAAGACAGTCATTGGCTCACCCAAACATGTAGGTCCCTGAGCAGGCCAGCTCAGCATCCTTGCTGGGTGGCCTTGAGCAGCTGGCTTCACGTCTCTGGGCCCCAGTTTCCTCCCCTGTCCAGTGGAGATGCTCCGTTCTCACTCACCGTTGGGCTGGGAACGGGCGAGGGAGCACCAGGTGTGCACCGCGTGCCCTGCTGAATATTGGCAGGCTGTCAGCAGACCCAGCAGCCTGTGGTAACCGCTGGGCTCCGCTGCTTCCCTGGAAGAATGCTCCTGTCAAAAGACGAGGCTCACAATTTGGCCCCCAAACCTCCAAACCAAATGACCAAAGAAATGCTGGTAACGGAAGACCCACCTGGGTCTAAGTATCCCTGGGGGGTTACAGCTGAAAGACATGATAATCAGAAAAAGATGAGCAAAAGAAAGCAGGGCTGACAATGTTGATAACAGAGCATGACTTGAAGAGAAAGCACTCAGTTGGATGGTAAAGGGAGCCTTAACTCTCTTTGCCTCCACGTGCTATCCTCAGCAGGCTTTATTTATTTATTTATTTGGTTGCACCAGGTCTTGGTGGCGGCACACGGGATCTTTGATCTTCATTGCCTCATGTGGGATCTAATTCCCTGACCAGAGATCAAGCTTGGACCCCCTGCATTGGGAATGCAGAGTCTTAGCCACGGGACCACCAGGGGAGTTCCATGGCTTCTTACTTTTAATGTCCTTCCCAGACCTTTCCCTCATCCAGGTCTTCGTTATTGCTTCCTGGTCCAAAACCTGTCTTCCTACTACTTGAAGCATGGATACAGTCTTCCCCAGGTCTCCACACCACTGCTTGCATTAATTTCTTGGAGGCTATTGTCTTGTTGCGATCTTTCCTGCCTAGTTCCTCTTTGACCAGACGGAGCCACTGCCCGTCTGTCCCCCTGTTTCCAAGGCCCCACCCTTGCCTGCTCTCAAGGCAGTATGGAGTTTGCATTGCAGAGGAGTGGAGGGGGAGTGGGCATCCAGAAGACCTCCCCCTGGGGAGCTGCTCACAGAGCCAACTTCAGCACTAGTCTATGAGTGAGCACTGGGCCTGGCTGAGGGTACACATCCATTAAAGATGGGTGGAGTGAGCTTAAGTTGAACCCTTAGTCTGTTAAATGTTGGTTCAACCCAGAAAAGTGATGAGGAGGAGGTCTTGTCTGGCAGCATGGGTCCTGAGCTACACAGAGAATTTTTAAAATTTCTGATTGAAAAGTTTCAACTGGAAAATATGTCCACTGGAATCTTCCAAGCCCATGCCTTTCTCTTACTTCCTTTAGTCAATACGTAGTGATTGTTTTTGCTATCAGGCTCTTGATGTTGTAAGCATGCAAAGATTGTGTAAAGCTTGGAACAGCTAACTCTATAGAAGGGACAGGAAGTCTCCTAGCCATTGGTCAACATCTATGGAACATCAGCTATTTATTGCATGTATTTATTGCGCACAATGCAATAGGGAACAAGGGCTTCACAGAGCTTACCGTCTGGGGAGAGGGGAGATGGTGGTGACAGACATCGCAGTAAGAGGCAGGCACCCACACACAAATAGTTCCATTTCAAGACACTCCTACACTTCTACAGTCGTGCTGGGCTTAACATCTTGGCTTCTTTACTAATTTCATGTGACCTGGAGCAGGAGGCTTAGTAAGCTCCCTGAGGTTCAATTTCACTACATTTAGCTGGAAATGATAATTACTTTCTTTCTAGAGTCATCATGAGAACGATAAGAAACAATTCAAATAGCTGGCATATCATTTTTATATTTAGGACAAGGATGATGACAATATAATAAATGCCAGATGAATGGTTCAGAAAAAGAGGAGGGGAATATCTCTTCCTGGAGAGGGTTGGTATGGATGAAGAGGGTTTTCAGGAGAAGGGGGTGGTTGGTGCTGAGCCTTAAAGGAGGGGTTGGATATCTATACAAGGAAGTGGCCAAGAATGAATCAGTTCAAAAGAAGAAAAATGAATGATTCAGAAGGTCATTAAAATAAAACAACTAAAGAATCTAAACCAAATGACTGGGTTCCTTAAAAATAGGACATTGCATTGCCAAGTTAAGAGAGAGTTAGTCAGACGGGGGAGGAGGTTACTGGGAAATTTCACCCAGTTCAGCATTATTGAGAAGTTGCGGGTTCTTGGAGCCCTCAGCGAGTATTGCACAATCTTGTGGGGTCAGAGGTACCCAAACTGTGGGCCAGGGACTGAGAGGGAAGTGTTTAGGACAGGACTGATGTTAGGAAAAAAAAAAAGAAAAAAGAAGCTACTTGTAAAGAGGAGCTGTCTCAACTCACAGACACTGAGAATAGATTTGTGGTTGCCAAGGGACTGCAAGGAGATCCAACCAGTCCATCCTAAAGGAGATCAGTCCTGGGGGTTCACTGGAAGGACTGATGCTGACGCTGAAACTCCAATACTTTGGCCACCTGATGCGACGAGTTGACTCATTGGAAAAGACCCTGATGCTGGGAGGGATTGGGGGCANGTCTGATCCACAGGACAGACGTATCCCATTCCTTCTCCGCCAGTCCTGCAGCCCCTCCTCACTTTCCCCACCTTCTCATACTGAACTAGGCTGCTACTGCTGCTGCTAAGTTGCTTCAGTCGTGTCTGACTCTGTGCGACCCCGTAGACGGCAGCCCATCAGGCTCCCCCGTCTCTGGGACAGGCAACAATACTGGAGTGGGTTGCCATTTCCTTCTCCAACGCATGAAAAGTGAAAAGTGAAAGTGAAGTCGCGCAGTTGTGTCCAACTCTTAGTGACCCCGTGGACTGCAGCCTACCAGGCTCCTCCGTCTATGGGATTTTCCAGGCAAGAGTACTGGAGTGGGGTACATTGCCTTCTCCGGGTGGAACTAGGCAGATGGGCTCAAATCCCAGCTCTGCCACTTGCTAGCTGTGTGATCTTAAGCAGAACACGTCACCTCTCTGTGCCCTCATTTTTTGGTCTATACAAAGGAGATTGTAATACTCACTTCACTGGATTATAGTGGAGAGTTAATGAAGCACAACCCTGGCACCTTTAGGTGCTCAGAAAATGTTGGTTCCAGCGCTTTCTCCCATTCTCTTCCTTCTTCTGACTTCCTCTTTCCCTATCTATTCTGATGATTTCTTGCTAGAGGTAACCAAGCAGTCTACAGCAAAATAATTCAAC